ACCAGTCTCACATCCATTTTATGATACACGTACAGTATACAGTAAACCCTTGCCATTTGCAGTTTTACAGTTCGCAATTTTGATTATTTGCGATTCATTCCCTAAAAAAATAAAGTAATAAAATAGAAAAAATATTTGTTTTGAGATACAAATAAATTATTTCTGTATTACATAAACAGTTCCTTCCTTTCTTATAATCATCCTCAGGGTGACACCATTACAAAAATATATATACAAAATTTATTATTTTATGATAATATTTCATTAATCTGGCACCAAAGGAACCTAAAGAATATGGGAATTTTAGTAAAATTGCATACTGTTCTTATAAAGGGGTGGGAAATATCCATTGGGTTCAGCTCAACCACCCGCCCTACTCCTTCACAAATACATATTTTAATTCCCTTTGCTCTTCATTTTTCTTATTTTATGCTTACTGTATAGTATATTGTATGATTTCATGGTTTTATTTATGCCTTTCACCACTGTACGTGTATTTAAAGAAAAACATACTGAAATACCATTTATGGTTGTGTTTATGGGTGACTCTCACATACAATATGATGGCTGCTAATACTATTCACAGGGGTCCGTGGCACCTAACCCCACAAATAGCATTTTCTTGAGGACTCCTTTACTCCACTGGTATATTCCATATCCTTTTTATCCCTATATTAGTTTTCATAATTCCCATAGTACTTAATGATTTATCTATATTTCTGAAGACATGTTACTAATATCAGTGTCTCTTCAGGTTTATGCTTGCCATACAAAAGTGTTTGACTGCAGACCAGACATATATAACTATGGCAAAGAGTCTTGTGGCCTCCAATTTCCCAGGCAAGATTCTCAGCTTACTTGCTGCCATGATTGTATATCACATCAGAAATTACTCAAGGTATGCTTGTGATATATAATGTACAGTATATATGAGGTAATGCGGTCTCCTAAACAGGGGCGTAAGTGCCAAATGTGCAAATTAGAGACGGGTCTCATTTTCTATTTTTTGTCGATTGGTATACAGTGAAACCTCGTTAATCTGTATGCAGATGATCCAGATGTTGCTTAATCCATATCACATGGTGAGCTATGTGTCGATTCCTGGGCCTTCTACTTCTTTCCACCTTGGTTCTAGACATAGTGGTGTGTCAGATCTCAGTGCTGTTACTGCACTTTCTCCGGAACCTCCTCCTCAGATTTTACAATCTGATGTTTGTGATCAAGAACTCTAAGTGTTTAAGTGTAAATCTTTGAGATAGTGACTCAAAATTAGTGTGCAGTGTAAATAATTTAGTAATACAGTACTGTAGTTTGTGATAGTATTAAATCAACTGCCCCACACTACTGTACTTACCTTATCTGACTCTCCACTACCTTTAGGAGCCCTTTAGAATTAAAGATAAGGTTGTATTTAAATACACAATCATCTTTATGTATTTGTGTTTTACAGGTTAATATTGTTTGTTTCATTACATCTGTCAATTTGCCATATTTTTACTATGTAGTAAGACTTTATGCTTTGAAATTTGCAATTAATTTGAATTAATGAGGTTTCATTGTATGTCTTATACCCATAGCTTACTCGAAGTCTGTGAGAGCTAGGCTTGAAAAAAAAATTTGCCAAGTTCTCACAGGGCTACAAATCCTTGAAAATTTTCTATATCTCAAAATGTCAGTCTAAACTACACAGCTCGCATGGACAGATTTTATTGCACATCCCTGGAATGTTTCCGGGTGCTGGGGAAAGTATTCTGAAAATCTTGACTACGCATCTTGCATGGAGAGACACACGCCACACGGGTATTTATTTATGCAAACACTACTGTACACGTACAATATATTGTAAATAAAACAAAATAATGTATTCTACTACTGTATTGTACGATAGTATACTCTACTCACCAGCAGATGCCGTCGTCTTGTTTTTGTGATGCAGGCAGGCCAAATGTTGATATGATGATATAGGATGGCCTACTTTGTCCTGTACCAATTATGTGGCAGCTGATCATATACTGTTGCTCTCCTCTCCCTCCATGAAGCAGAGAGGCAAATCAAGAGTGACAAATGTCTTCCATTGCCGACAAAGTGTTGGGTCGTGGTGATGACCAGGCATGTAGTAGTGTTGATGGACAAGGTGATGAAGAGGCATGTGTTCTGGTAAAAGGGGAGGAGGCAGAGGATGTCAGTGGTGGCCATAAAATTCAGGAGGCCATCTAGGTATGTCCTCACCTCTCTGAGACTGGTGGTGGTACTTTCCTCTAGTTTTCCTCTCTGTCGTCCTTATCCTCCTCCTGTCCTTCTCCGTAGGATCTGATGACACCTTTGTATATTTCCTCCTGGGTGAGGGCACCATAGCCAGGATTGTTGGTATCCACCTGCAGCCACTCTCTCACATCCTCCATGGTCACAGCAATGTCACCATTGTCATAGAAAAGTGTGTAGGCCTCTCCCACTTCGAAGCCCTCAAAGTCTGCATCCCCCTGCAGTAAAATAGCTTCTGCGGCGGCAACGCAACCACCACCATTCAGGAGCCTCTTCTACACATTCCTGTGTGTCATCTCCATGATCTTGTCCCAAGCTGCCTTCAGGTTGAACACTGCATCTCGGATGTTGTAGTCCTTGATGTTCTTCAGTGTCTCTAGTCCCCTGGTGTCTTTCTCCCCTCTTTGGCACTGGTTCCACCACCAGAATGTCATTTATGAGGATGCACCTGCAGTGTAGCTTACAGGCTAGAATGATGCCCTGAGGGTAAGCAGGCACATTGTCAAGGATGAGCAAAGCTTTGACCTCTCGCCTAGGAATGTAATTGTCTGACAGCATGTACTCAAATGAATACATGGTGGAACCAGCCTTCAAATATTTCCTGGGTGAACCAGGCTTTTTTGTTGCCACACCAGGACACAGGAAGGCTATCCATTGAATTGTGCAGCACTCTTGACCTCTATGTATTTCCCACCATTATTGGTGTAATTTTGTGGAAGCTAGCAGCATTGGCACAGAACAGCACTGACAGTTGCTGCTCGCTGGCCTTGAGTCCAGGGGTACTGCTCTCCTGCCGGAATGCCACAGTGTTGTTTGGCAGGGACTTCCAATAGAAATCTGTCTCAACCACACTGTATATACATTTCGTACTTCTTGATGTCATCGTCATGGATGAGTTGGTGCCACATAAGCACTAGCACTCTTACCAGCCACTCACTTGCTGCTGATCCCATGCTGCCTGTAAAACTTGTAGTCACCCAAAGCTCCCATGGAAATTGGGCATATCCAGCAGTGTAGAAAATTGCTGAGTGGCATCATGGAGCTCAATGGTGTGAATAGGAACACCAATGGCTCAATGCTGCTTGTACTGTACCAGTTATATATTTCAGCTCTACTTTGTCATATTTTAAGGTGTTTATATGAATATGGGTGAGGCTACTTTCCTCACCTGCACCTAGCATAACTTTCTGTTCTTGCCTCCTGAACTTTTGCTTGGCATGTTTCACATCGTGGATGGTTGACATACCCCCATCCACCTCCTGCATCAACACTTTCACCTACACATTTTTCTCAAGTTTATTGAGAAAGTCCAATTTCTCCTGAAAGGGCAGTCTTTTCATAAGGCCTCTCCTCAACTCCTTGGTGCCCTGGGTTTCTCTGTATCTCTCAACATTGTACATGTACAACAAATTACAGTACTGTACACACAAACACTACACATGAGGCAACAGTACACAACCACTCTCCACTCTGCTATGCTCGGTACTGTATGTACGGTGCTTACACTAACAATGATAAATTACAGTAAAGTATACTGTACACAGTAATCACTGTTTATTTCTTAATACTGCTTTAATACTGTATTCTCGGTTGACTGTGTCTTGGTAGAGTAATGTACAGTACATACTGCACAATGCAAATTTATGCAAAAACAACAGCGAGCGTTGGAACAACCTTGTACAATGGCAGCGAACTATGAACCAAGCTGGGATAAGCATCAGCCTATCAAAGACATCCCATGCAATCACATGACAGCATTAGCCAGTCGCAGGCTACAAGCCTGCAGCCCAAGTTACCCAACTGGTTAGCCACCCACGCATCTGAAACATGCAGAAGTATCAGAGCATGATGCAATCTTTTGGAAGTCCCAGAAATTTTTTCTCATGCTCGTATTTTATCTGGGAAATGTGTGTGATTCCATCCTGAGAAACTCATTCCCATACCTGGAATGGAGAGATTATTCCAGAAAATGTGCATGATTTCATCTTCAGAAACATGTTTACATTCCTGGAACGGGGTGAGTTTTCGCGGAATTTCCCGGAAGGCTCGAGATCCAATCCAGCTATTGGAGAGTTCTTTACAATGCATCAATATTTATTAATTTGCATTTGAGGAATTTGTCATTACATATTACTTTGAGGTCAGTTTGGAAAATAATTTAGCCTTGTACTCTTGATGTTCACCATGACCAAGGTACATTACCGTCCTTTTAATGAATTAAGTATCATATTTTCAGGTACAATCTTTCATCTGGTGGATCTGCAGTTCGATTTTGGCTGCAGCTTCTTATAGGTATCCCAGAGTGGGTACATGACAGCTCTGTACTCTTTTTACTGGATACCATTTGTCAACAGTCATTCACACACCCGGCTTGCTGGCAAGAAGTTATAAGAGGATTCTCCGAAGTCATGAAAGTAATTCATGAGATTTAAGTATTATTTTATATAAAGTCCTTTTAGTAAAGGAGACAACACTGGAACTTATTATTTTTTTAAGTTAAAAATAATTCTCCTGGAGTGAAAGACTTGGTAAACTTTTGTGTCAACGGTCCATACATCCCTCCTGCATCAACTTCTTCATAAAAAGACTAACTCAAGAACTGCTGAGTAGTGTTTTAAATCCCACCATCAGATATTTGAGTCTTATACTTTATTCTTTGTTATTTAGACCAGGTAATTCAAGTTGATATTGAGCAGTATCATATTTTCAATCTCATGCACTGCTGTTATTTCTGTACAGTAGTGTATATGAAGTACATAATTCACAATTAGCAAAATTAATCTTAGTTTATTTTGTTTGGTTATCTACCAGTATATAAAAATTGTGTGTAAAGCATGTAATACACATAAGCTTGGAAAGTATTGTTTCCCACAAAAAAAAAATTACATTTTTACATTTGGGGACATTTTATTTTTCGTAGAAACTTAACTCCCATTTATATAATGGTAGTCAATGGAAACAATGGCTTCAATTTATGAAAGGTTTCTCAAGAATGTATCTGTTTCATAAATCGAATCACTCCTATATGTATATGTTGTAAATTACAGAACTTTAAAGTTGTAGGGCATCTCACTTCATTATAAGAGGAAATTTCACACTTTTCATTGTAATCTTATCACATATAGTGACAGTCAAGTTTTAATCTCTCCCACTCCAAAAAAATTGCTGGGATATATAAAAGAGTTCCATCCAACTGTCCACAGTACTTGAGTTTTCCCTCAAGAACATAAATCAAAATCACAACAAATACAGAGGTTTCACAAAATTCTGTGTATTGTCAATAAAAATGATACGTCTAAGTCACAATATTATTTCCTTAGCAGACCAGCAGGAAATGAAGATGACTTTGATTTTTTTTTATTCTTAATTGTTCAGTATTTTGTTTAATTTCTGCATGGAAGTAGGTCTTTTTGATTAAGAAGGAGCAGTACCAGTAATTTGTAGTCAGGATGGCAGTGATCCATATTTTTTAGATTTCATATACAGTATTTTATCCAGAAATTCCTGACCTTAATTTACTAAAATTTGAAATTTTTTTGACTTACTCATAATTCTTGATTAGAACCTTGATTATCATTCACTCACACTATTAGTGGATCTTTGCCAATTTGTAGAGAAATTCATATACAGTACAGTACTCTCTTAAGACTAATTGCGATGTCAGCTGTTACAGTATATGTAATCATTAATAGTACAATACACGCAGAAATCATTTGAAAATCCAGCTCATAATCTCCTCCCCGACTTACGACCTACTCGACTTACGACCACCCGCACTTACGACCTGCCTCAGTCGTACCAAAATTTTGTCAAATTACGTGTTATCGAGTCTCAACTTCAGTACACAGACAAAATTTTCGTTTGTAATTCACTTTAAAATGGCTGGCAAGCTTAAAAGTGAAAGTTTTGTGGTGCTGAGAAGAAAAAGAGAAGCCCATTTTAGATTTTCTATGTATTATTTAAGCATTTTCGACTTACGACCTGGATTTGGGTCCCTAACCCCGTCGTAAGTTGGGGAGGAGCTGTACTTAAAAAAAATATTCTTACTCCTTCGTTGTATTTTAATAGTTGCCCCATAGAGTGTTTCCTGTCATATATGGGGTTCTCGTTATAAGTGGTCAAATAATTGTGGACCTACACGTATAAAGTCCCTACAGTTAAGAGGATTCTAAGGCTGAAATCCGTCAGTCTTTGGGGGAACAAGTGATTGACCGATTGAAATTCCCGCCCGTCTCCCCTTCTCTTAAAAGTCATCCTTCTCACCCACACTATTCATGCTCAGTACTGCCTGTGTCCACAGGCATTATTTTGAAGTGCTCCAAGAACTATAATTAACAACTTTGTTGTCTCTGGTGGACTATTTTTGTAGCCATCAGTTCCAAACCAAAGCAAGGTGGTGTAGTGGCTAAAAGGAAGCGCAGTAGCTATGGGATGGATGTGGAATTAGAAGTTACACGTCCTAAGAAAAGTGACGAGCAATTCTCAGTGAACCACTTTCATTGAAATGAGTGCACGAGTCCATGGTTAGGTTGCTTGCGCCCCATCAACAGACCAATCCCAAACGACTTTTATGTCCAGTATACTCTCGATTTAACGGAATCCTTTATTTTTCACTCGATTTATTGAACTCACTAACCCGAGATTAATTCCGTTAATACGCTCACACCTACGGAGACACCTCAGTCACATGATATGTACATAGAAACATTATTCATAGCTTACCTTAAACTAGGATTTTTTTTTTTTCTCAAAATTTTTTCCAATTGACAGCCGCACTCTTTTGACTTTCTCCCCCACACCACTTCCTTTCCGAGACTTCTGAGAGACTTTCAGCATGATGTCTAAGCTCCTCCCCGACTTACGACCACCCGCACTTACGACCTGCCTCAGTCGTACCAAAATTTTGTCAAATTACGTATTTTCGAGTCCCAACGTCAGTACACAGGCAAAATTTTTGTTTGTAATTCACTTTAAAATGGCTGTTAAAAGATACCTAATTTAACTTTAGGAGCGTCACTTACATTGTGATGGTCCTAATTAGACCCTATTAATTTTGGGGGGAATTGACTCCTGTTTATAAATGGTTTCATAATCAGTGGCTTTTTTCTGGTCCCTTTTAACCACTTATAGTGAGGACCCCTGTAAAAGGATATGTAAATATTTGAGATGATGAATAATTAAATAAATGTCCAGTACTATATGTAAAAAAAATTTGTAGAAGGGAAATTAGATGTACAAAATAAAATAATTTTGACAAATAAAGGATGATGGAACAATGCTGATATAGACTGACTTTCACATCTAATCTATAGATGGTACAGAACTGTATTAAATGTACTGCCTTCTTTGAATATTTTCAAGGTTCAGTATTCAGTGTTATAATAACTATTTGAAATGTGTTCCAGAGCTCTGAATGTCAACAAAGTGGTGGGGGAGGTGTGATTGGTTTGCTGTCTTGGTTAACAGCAGGAACTACAGCCCCTCACTCCTTGCTGGTACGGCCTTCTGCCCCACAGTTCCCGTGGTTCACGGTGGCTGTCCTCATGCTAGAGACACAGCAGGAGTTATCCTCAGGGCTCTGGAAGAACCTCTTAATAGAATTATTTGCTAAGCCACAAACTACACTTGAAGAAGCTCTTAAGGTAAGATGTCTGGTATTTTGGTTGCAGTTGAATTGCCGAAAATGTGAAGTACAGTGCTCAAATAAATTATCAGTAGATTATATTTTTAACAGATTAAAATTATTATGAAGCTAACTATCAATGTACCCTATCACTGTACCCTATCTTACCATCTTTTCCCAATTCAGAAACCAAAAGCCACACACACACACTGTAGGAGATATGGTAGTAAATTTACTTTATATCTTTGAATTGTTTGAGATATCTACAGTGGAAACTATTCATTTATTATCTAGATGTATCCAGCATCTGTTGTTCAAATTTATGGATAATGGGTAGGTGTTCTATTCAGAATTTCTTTCAGAGACTGGTCATTGAAGATTATCTTGCTGGACTGGAGGGTTACAGACCAAAGTGTTTCAGTAATACAATACAAGTTTTTCAGAAGGTTTTAGATGAACCTGTACTGTAATACACCTTATTAATCTTTTTACTTTCCTTCCCATTATTGTGTTGGCAATTCTTTTTTTCCTACATTTCAGTATTGCCTCTTGCTTTCTTCCTTCACTTTTTTCTGAGTTAATTGTTCTTTTCATATTTCATTCTACTCACTTGTTTTATTTATTTTTTATTTTTTTAATAAAAGCAGTGTAGTATGTGATTACACCACTTTAATAAAATCAAGCTACTTTTAAGTCAATTCTTTTTAATACTGTACAGTATAGTCTACCCTTGTCAGATGTGGGAGTTACATTCTTGGAAAATGGCATTTGACAAATTTATTATCTTATGGGAATACTGAATAGAATTAAAGAGAAAATGTTCTTGGACACTATATACAGTGGTTCCTCGGTTAACAAACACAACTTGTTCCACAGAGTCGTTCGTTAACCGATAATTTCGTTAACCAAATCTATTATTTCAAAGTACTGTTTACTGGTAATAGAATTAACAAAATATTAAATATAAACGAAATACAGTACTGTACTATACAGTATACTGTACAATAATAAATAAAAAAGCCGTTTTTTTCTAAAAACCAGTTTTTGTGATATAGCTCTAATGCGACTTCAGCAAATGCAACCTAGGTATGTTAATTCCTAGCTAATTCGCCAGGCCAACATACAGTACTGTACAGGCAATTAAAACATCTAATAATTACTTAATAAGTAATATGAGGAGGACACGTCGCTACCTGGCATTTAATTGCTATTTTCAAAGTCCTTCCTTCATCTCGCCCTTATGTGCAATAGAATACTGTATTTTAACTTACTTTGAGGTGTGTATGTCGTATTACCAGCAGCTTTGTATACAGTATAGTCTCGATTTACGTGGATTTCCTATACACGGTTGGTCATTTACGCGGCACCTGGCCAGACCGGCAATTATTAGTTATGCGGTACATTCCATCATTTACGCGGGAAGCGGTGTGGGCAGGGTGCGCACTAGGTCGCCCAATCAACAAAACATTACCGAGTTCTTCACCCGCCACCCACCACAGCCAGACCAGGTCAGTGATAGTGAGGATATGGACTTTGAGGGGTTTGACAAAGAGGCCCTGCAAGCCTCTGTGGTGGATAGTGATACAAGTGATACAGGTGAGGACCAATAATCTGTCCTCTGCCTCGGAACCAACCCCCATCCCCGTGTGCCCAGCCATCTCTTCTACTAACGTAAGTGTTAAAAAACCTAATATTATTGATATTTCTCTTAAATATTAATTGTGTGTGCATACCATCATAAAATTAAGATGTTATTTTTACTTTAACGTACGTATTGTGTCGGAAAAGGCGTAGTCTGGGGGTCGGCCCAGTTTCTATTTCAATTAATCCCATATGTTCTGTTATTTCGTTTTCGCGTTTCTCGTTTTACATGGACCTCTACGGGTTTAATTGACCGCGTAAACCGAGACTATACTGTACATATCAAACAGCTGAATGTAGAGGCAGTTGATGATGACGTGCCATATTCCTTACAGAGTGCATTGGTTCTAATGCGTTCTTCATGTTTCATTATAATTTTTGCTCCGTATATTATCAATATGTTAACTAAATTTCAAAATGACCAATAACTTTAATGTAAAAATGCAAAAAATATTCAAGAGACCAACAAAATCGATGTTCACTCCACTGTAAACAAAGTTAAACTGAGAAGTGTTATTGGGTGATTCAATCAGCTGATGGGTGCACAAAAACTGTTTCCTGTACTGTATATATTATCAATACTGTATGTTAACCAAATTTCAGAATGACCAATAATTTTAATATAAAAAATGCAGAAATATTCAGGAGACCAATTTTCTTGATATTTACTTCACTGGAAACTAATGTAAACATAGAACCAATTACTGTATTGGCGGACTAGCCGATCAGCTGATGTGCACAACGAAACGTGTTTGTCGTAAAGATTTCGTTAATCGAACTGAAAATCCTTATGGGAGCTAACTCGTTAACCGAAATTTCGTGAATCGAACCATTCATTAACCGAGGGACCATTGTATTCCAAGAAGCTATACATTTTCTTGTGATAAAATACATGAAATTGAATAAGAATACTGTATTAATAAATCAAATAAGTGTAGAAGCAATAATAATTAATGAAGCCAAAGAATCATAAGTACAATAATTATAATTATTTACATGATTTACCTAATGGCCACCTACTTAACATGCATTATATTTAGGTGTCATTTTAATTAAAGGGTAATAAACAGGAATGATGATGAAATTACCAAGAAAAAGAGATTGATTTTGAACTCTAGCTTATACAGTATATACTATTATTGCATGAGATAGGGTAGCACTGACTTATCAAGGTACAGAACTGCCTGACACAGATGCTTGGTGACAAATGAATTTTGCTCAAGGCCACTTGCAGTGAGGGCACTGCCTTAAAACTTATATATATTGTGGGGATGTTTAGCAACTGATATGTGTGTGTGTCAATGAGTCTGCATACCCAACTAAGCTTTACATGTACTGTACATACAGTACTGTAGATAGAAAGGACATTAATTAGATATGGCCTTTATGCTATTTCCAGAAAGTAAGCGATGATCTAGGCCTTGGGCCAATCTCCTCCAGTCTGCTGAGCATTTACCGTTGGGGTCAGCAAGTAGTGGACTTTCCAGCTGACCATCCTGCCCTCCCAGTCACATTAAAGATGTACTTCACACTACACCTAGCTCATGTTCCTCCACAACCTGGGTTAGTCCTCACTATTATACATCTGTAAATCAAGAATCCCACCTTAAGTTTGATATTTTGTTGTGAGTCTTGTTAGGATCATTGTAATGCAATGAAAAGTCCTCTGTTGAAATGCACTGTAGATTATATGATAAGAAATTGTGACATACAGTAAATGTTTAACAAAATATCAAGTAGTTAGATATAAAAACTGGCTATGAGAGTGAAAGCTTCCCTTCATATAATAGATGTAAGTCTTCCAGACAGATAAAGAAGATATTAGTTGGTCCAAAAGAGATACTATATAGTATTATGTAAGCAACAGTATACTTACTTCCAACACAAAGATATCCAAAAGTACACATGATGCTATGGTCTAAAGAAGAGAGAGAAGTGTTAGAGATCTGTTTTTTAAAAGACAACTTGATATGAACTTACTGTGATCAAAAACAATGAGAAGTGAGGGTGTAGACAAGCCTGATCCTATAATAATGTGTAGGTTAATGGTCATAGTATGTAGAAAGTGGTCAAGAAATGTGAAGTAAAAATTGCTTCAAGTGTTACAGAAGAATATATTTGCCAAACTGGTAAGATATACAGGTTGAACCTCAGTTTACTGGCATTGACGGGACCTGGACTGTTCCGTTAAATCGAAGTACAGTGGTCCCTCGGTTAACGAGCACAATCCGTTCCAGCATGTTGCTCGTTAACCGAAAAACTCGTTAACCGAAACCATTTGTTTCAATGAGTTTTTGGGTAATTGGTTCCAGCTCACAGAAAATTGCCTAAATTCAACAAAAAATGTAAAAAAGCACACTTACTTTGAGGTGTGTATGTAGAAGGCTCCTGGATGATGATGGTGATGATGGGAATTAGAATGGGGATGGAGGAGAAGGGAGAAGAGAAGGCATTGGGGTGGAAGAGAAGTCACCCCATGGCACCATTTCACCCATAAAATTTTAGTTCTCTTGGTGTAATTCAAGATTATTTTCTTTAAATCAATACTGCTTTGCATTATATATTGTCAATATGTCAAATAAATTTCAAAATGACCAATAATTTGCTTGGAAACACAGATAAAAAGCATTTAGTTGAAGAGAGTCTCAAGCAATATGTTACCTCCACTGAAAAGAGAGAGAGAGACTATTGTCTGTTTGTGTGTTAACAGGCTGGATGGCGTGCCCGAAACTAGTTTCTTTACCTTCAATTATGTTGAATAATTGTTAAAATGACTAAAAAATATTAATATTAAACTTTTAAAATTATTGAATAGTATAAACTTATTGATATTTACTAAAATAGTAAGGAATTTAAGCCCTAAAACTGATTACTGTATTGGCGGACTAATACTACAGCTGGTGGACCGCCAAATGCAAGCGAAAACATGTTGAGGTCGGCTTGTAAAAAACTCGTTAATCGAGGGATTGCTCGTTAACCAAAGTTAAGAATCTTATGGAAGGTAACTCGTTAACCGAGGGATCACTGTACCTGTATGGGCGGGAGGGCATATCTGACGACACCATTGCACCGAGCATTTTTCGAAATTTTTGTGATTCCCTGATTTCATGTGCTTACAGTTTTCCATTCCCTTTGTGTCACTCTCCACATAGTGCTTCAGGAGTTTATCTTTCTGCTTCTTTAAATCATAAATTGTTGAGGAACAAACACCATAGAGATCACAAAGTTGACGAGCAGACGCTCCACAGTCTAGTTTCTGTAATATTTCAACCTTCTGCACATTGTTCTTATTTTAGTCACTAGCAACTCCAGTAGGGTTTTCAGGTCATTAAGAGGCCATAATTGATGCTAAGAAAGTAGAAATTTAAGGCGTCACATGAGACCAGCACCGGCTGGACTTCAATGCCAACAAACGTTCGCAGTGGCACGGGAACGCCTTTAAATGCGAATTGCCAGTAAATGCACGGTAAAGTTATTATTGATGATGTTAAAAAGGTAACTTATCAGGTTTCTTGCATCTTTGCTTTATCCTTCAGGATTTTTTTGCAGGCAATATGAATGCAGTAGTGTGGTCTCTCGGTTCTATCAGGGGCTAGTCAATTCAGCATTCCTTGGAAAGATCAAAAAGAAAGTTGCAAGTGCTGTGGAACATCATGAATCTTGCTTAAGACTGGAACCAGAAGATGAAGAGGAAATCCTAGATCCTCAGGTAAGGTGTCTACCGATCTGGTTACTTACACTTTTCGTTACATTTGCACCGACGCTTTCAGGGGTCGTACTAGGGGTTTAACCCTTTACAGGGCAAAGTATCCTTTAGGTACCGTATATACTCGTGTATAGTTCGAGCTTTTAAGACCAAATTTTTGGGCCAAAAATTGGGGGTCGTCCTATACATGCGTAATAGTTTTGTTAGGTTGAACCCGTGCATGATGGGAAGGGCGAGGAGCAACTTTTAGCTTCAGACATGAAAAATAATTACCATTTACTGCCAGTAAACAATGGTAATGTAAAATATGTACCAATTAGTAATGAAAAGTTGTGCAGTTCCTTCAGCAAATGAAGCTCACCAACTTACAATAGGCTAAATTACCTTACAATGCGCTTTCAGTAGTCTATGTTGAAGTCTAAATTACCTTACAATGCGCTTTCAGTAGTCTATGTTGAAGTCTTAGCACAGGCTAACTTATCTTATCATATACGGTTTCACAGTTCTCAATGATCTACAAAAAATACCGGTAATAAAAACCTTTTCTATATTTCACACTTAATATAATACCCGGTAATCTACTTCAACCTCCTATTGTTTACAATGACGCATGACGCACCACCAGGTGTTGAGTGTATCAGCTAGACGGTACACGTGTTTTTCGAATCGTTTTCAGTTAAAAAACTGTTACATCACATGTATATTTTACCTTAACTGTGCCTGAATGAATATATACTAGGAAATAAATAGTAGTTTTGCTGAAACGTGATGTATTTCAATGTAAAATAGGATAAAATACATGACGAAAACAAAAGACTTTACCTAAGCTTCCGATGTTCAAGAGAAGTTACTCGTACTGTATTACAATAATATTCTATCCTATCATTAGCCTTATAATTCCACAACTGAAAACCATTCGAAAAGCGATTACGGTAACATCTTTTGAACGAAAGAAAGAGAAAGTCATTGCGTTCGTCACAGGTTTATCCCACTTTCCACTGTAATACGCACATCATTTCAGCAAAAATATTACATTTCCATGTTCTCAGAAATAAATGGTAGTTTTGTTGAAACGTAATGTACAGTATTTAATATTAAAATGCAAAAATAGCTATAAAAACAATTAATATACCTGTAATGTACTGGCTGGCATCTCGTCCCTGCTCCCGCGTCCAAGGTCACCACTCCTCCCAACTCGCTCCCTCCTCCTCCACCTCCTCACCATCACTACTGCCGACAACAAACACAAATGTTTTGTGAATAACTGCACCTCCACTTCCTATGTACAGTACTGAGCTGTACTGTGCTGTGCATTTTTACAAACAATAAACATGGCAAGAAAAGCTATTAAAAAAAAAAAGAGATAAAAATTTCACTTTACTGTACAGTTCCTATCCTCGGCGACAGGACGGGTGTCATCGGGCTCATCGTCACTCAATTACAAAACTGGTGGTGAAGCAGGGGCGACGATTGATTCAGCTGCTTCCTCACTGCCGCCAGTGATTGATGGTGTTAAATCTCTCCTTCGGTGATCAAAGAACATGGTGATGGGGAGTTGTCGTTTCTTTCATTCATTTCTTCCATGATGTTTTTGTATGGAGCGAAAACGTCATCCAACCCTCGCATGAATTTCAGGGCACGCACCATGGAGGGGTCCATACTATAGGCCAGGTTTTTCAGTGCCTCAATATTCCTGGTCATCTCCCCCAACTTCTCCAACATTATTTCTTGGTGCTCTTCCTCTTCCTCATCCTCTTCCTCTTCCTCTTCCTTGCCTGAGTCTACTAACTCCTGTAGATTCTCCTCGGTCAGCTCAGTGTCGTGCTCTTCAATTAGCTCCCAAATCTCGTCCTCTGCCATGTCCTGGAAGCCTTCAGCAGCCACTTTCCTTGACAGTGCCAGGGTCTTTCTGAAAATTTTAATTGAAATCCATCAAAATAATTTTCCTTGTCATCGTCTTAAGCACCAAACAGCTCCTCCCAGTCTTCTCCTTGAACAGGGCTAGAGGGTACGTGTTTTTCGAATCGTTTTTAATTAAAAAAATGTTACAGCACATGTATATTTTACCTAAACTGTGCCTGAATGAATATATTCTCAGAAATAAATACAGTAAAAGTCCAAAAATCCGGATGCCAGAAATCCGGACCACCCGAGAATCCGGACTTTTGGAAAACTAATTAATATTAGTACGCATTATTATTATTTTATTTATTTTATTTTTTATTTTTATTTTTTTTTTTTTTTTGTTTTTTTTAGCGGGCTTTTGTGTGTATGTGCGCATGCGTGAGCGCCACAGCTGCACAGCGACAACAAGCGACCACGTGGTCGCCACTTTAAAACGAGCAATCAAACTGTGACAACATACCGTATATACTCATCTATAACCCCCCCTCGTTTATCGGTCGACCCTGATTTTTTGACCAAGAAATCGTTAATTTATGATATTCCTCGTTTATAGTTTGACCCACGTTTTTGAGGGTAAGGGAACAACAAAACCTTCAGTAAAAACGCTCTACGTCCTATAAACTGAAACACGAGTGCCGAAGGCAAATTGTTTACCATTTATTATTACGACACTTTACACTGAAACGCGGGTAGTTTCAACAAAAATATTGTATATTTCCATTCAAGTCAATTAGGAGGGAATATTATTGTAATACAACAGTTTTTTAACTAAACCATTCGAAAAGCGATTACGGTAACATCTTTTGAACGAAAGAAAGCGAAAGTCATTGTTTTCGTTAGGATTTTATCCCACTTTCCACTTTAATACGTACGTAATTTCAGCAAAAATATTACATTTCCGTGAATGTATTATATCAAGCACAGTATAAATAGAATATCATTGTAATATATCAGAATTTTAACCGAAAATTATTAAAAAAACGAGTTACATCTCAAGAACATCGGAAGCTTAGGTAAAGTCTTTTGTTTTCGTCATGTATTTTATCCTATTTTACATTGAAATACATCACGTTTCAGCAAAACTACTATTTATTTCCGAGAATATATTCATTCAGGCGCAGTTTAGGTGAAATATACGTGTGATGTAATAGTTTTTTAACTGAAAACGATTCGAAAAACACGTACCCTCTAGCCCTGTTCAAGGAGAGACTGGGAGAAGCAGTTTGGTGCTGCAGACGATGACAAAGAAAATGATTTTGATGGATTTTAATGAAAATATTCAGAAATATAGCATTGTAGTATTTATTCAAGTCATTTAGGATAGAATATTATTGTAATACAGTACAACAGTTTTTTAACTAAACCATTCGAAAAGCGATTACGGTAACATCTTTTGAACGAAAGAAAGCGAAAGTCATTGTTTTCGTCACGATTTGATCCCACTTTCCGCTGTAATACGTACGTCATTTTAGCAAAAATATTACATTTCCGTGAATGCATTATATCAAGCACAGTATGAATAGAATACCATTGTATTGTAATATAACAATATTTTGAGTCCTACTCTTTCCATTTACAGATTACTGTACAAGCCCATAATAATGGCTCCTAAAGTAGATAAACTTCGTTGTGTGAAGAGAAAGAAGAACACGTTGAAATTGAGTGACAAACTTGAAATAATTAAGAAACTAGTACGTGGTGTGAGCAATACTGTTCTAATGGAAACATACGACATTGGAAAGTCTACAATTTATGATATAAAAAAGGCAAAGAAAAAAATTCTAGAATTCACAGCTTTTTCATTAAAACTGCTCATTTTGATAAATGAAGCATGCTATAATTGCTAATGAATAAACTATCAAAATGTACCTGTTCATCTCTTCTTTATTCCTCCTTAAATTTGAATTTTAAAAGTACTGCCTGAGAATCCGGAAAATCCGAAAATCCGGACCGACCCAATCCCCAAGCAGTCCGGATTTTTGGACTTCTACTGTAGTAGTTTTGCTGAAACGTGATGTATTTCAATGTAAAATAGGATAAAATACATGACGAAAACAAAAGACTTTTTACCTAAGCTTCCGATGTTCTTGAGATGTTACTCGTTTTTTTAATAGTTTTCGGTTAAAATTCTGTTATATTACAATGATATTCTATTCACACTGTGCTTGATATAATGCATTCATGGAAATATAATATTTTTGCTGAAATTACATACGTATTACAGTGGAAAGTGGGATAAAATCGTGACGAAAACAATGACTTTCGCTTTCTTTCGTTCAAAAGATGTTACCGTAATCGCTTTTTGAATGGTTTAGTTAAAAAACTGTTGTATTACAATAATATTCCCTCCTAATTGACTTGAATGGAAATATACAATATTTTTGTTGAAACTACCCGCGTTTCAGTGTAAAGTGTCGTAATAATAAATGGTAAACAATTTGCCTTCGGCATTCGTGTTTCATGCACGGCGAGCCTCAGCTTATAGGACGTAGAGCGTTTTTACTGAAGGTTTTGTTGTTCCCTTACCCTCAAAAACGTGGGTCGACCTATAAACGAGGAATATCATAAATTAACGATTTCTTGGTCCAAAAATCATGGTCGACTTATAAACGAGGGGGGGTTATAGACGAGTATATACGATATTTTATCTTGCCTAACGTCAGGTGATTTTATTCAGCTTAAGGGAGTCCCTGCCTGCTAAAGGGTTAAAGTTGGCATACAAGGATTTTTTAAGCACATGCTTTAAATGTCTTCTTTACACACTGACACATACAGAATCCAAAAACATTATTGTGCCAATTTTGAACCCTGCTATGAACTCTTATTAATGGGTTATATTCTTTGACCAATTGTGATATGTATACTACTAAATACAATCTGATTGTCATATACAGTGGTCCCTCGGTTAACGAGCAAAATCCGTTCCAGCAGGTTGCTCTTTAACCGAAACCATTGTTTCAATGGGTTTTTGGGTAATTGGTTCCAGCTCACCGAAAATTGCCTTAATTCAACAAAAAAGGTAGAAAAGTTCACTTACTTTGAGGTGTGTATGTAGAAGGCTCCTGGATGATGATGATGATGTGAATTTGAAGTAGGAG